TGCAACGAAACATCCGTAAGCAAACTTCTGCCCGTGGACTGTTTTGCGCGCGCGCAAAAAAGAAGCCCCGAATTTCGCGGCGACGACGTTAGACCAGGTACTCCGCATAACTATGCGCCGGATGCTGCAGATGTTATAACTACGCATGCTGTTACACGCCGAAGGAGCAAACACGGATCAACAATCCCCGCGCCATGTTTGTTGTTGGACAACGTTGTGCCTCCAACTTTTGGTATCACGGGATTGTGTGCCGGTTCGCTCCAACGAATCTCGAGCGAACCGGCGAGTTAGACGGGAAATCTATTTTGTTTCGCCACGGCGGCCCCGCGATTGAGATTCACGCACGGCTACCAAGAGCGCCTCGGACCCGCTCGGTATTCGCAGCGTACCGGACCGTAGGATCCAATAAAATGGTACGTTTAGTTGCCCGTTACTCCGATAAAGCCTAGTCGAGACGGCCTACGGTATCAATTTTTCAAGTTTGCCGAGACGAGAGAATTTCCCCGTCCTGTACCACAGTAGCTTCTGCCCTCCAGACCAAATGCAACTCGAACCAAGAGCACTCGAAGGCTGTCACCGTTTTGCACGGGTGTCTTTATACAAATTTAATGCTGCGAACCGAAACAAAAACGACACTGAAATAATCACTACGTGTAAAGGCATCTACGCAAAAGTGTCAGTTCAACTCTTATACACTGAAAAAAATTTCTGGTTGAATATGGACGAATCAGATAATTCCTTTAGGATTTACCAGAATTCCTTTAGGATTTACCAGAATTTCTGTAGGATTACAGTTCCTGTAATCCTTTTTTCAGTGTGGGCATTATTAGGTATTTTTGGGGCATTAGTTTGGGCACTGGGCATCAGTAGGCATTGGTGTACATGATTTTGCTCAGCATTTACCACTCGTGTTATTTTCCATCAAATATTCTTTCCTTTCCATTCAAGTAAGTTTTTCTGCCTCTAACGCAATGTAGTATCATTTCAAGATTTTCAACAGAAGAGTGTTCTTTTTTTTTCTGTGTAACGTTATACGTCATTGGTCACCTTTCAATATTTTCAAATCAGAAAGAATGAAAAATTTAACAGTTTTCAAAAGCGTCATTATACCCGATAATACCTCGTTTGCGCAAGATGCACTCGAACACAATTATATAAAGATACAGAACGTGCGTGCACGCTCACGTATATACGTAGAAGCAATCAAGGCAAGCCGAGGGTAAGAGAGAAAAAGAGAGAGAGAGAGAGAGAGAAAGGGACGGTAAACGAGCGCTCTCATTTCTTTTTTTTCCAGTACACGTGGCGTATCCGTAAAATTGATAAAGTTTCGCGAAAACTTTTATAATACCCGGCCGTGGAAGAATGTTCAAGTATATACGAGCTGGCAATTTATGTTGCGCCAGATCGCGACGCTCTGTCCCGAAGTCGGCCATGGGCGGGCACGGGGACCTCGCCTCGGGCCGTCGCAGTTGTATGCATCTACGTGGGCGCATGCAGACTGTTTATCACACTTTCGAGGGGTATAACCGTCGTTAAAATCGTCCTGCGATCTACATTACAAAAGATTCGCCCGCCGACTCGCAGTTCGGCAGCGAGCGAGCGCGCGTATCCGAGAGCGTTCGGCCGCCGCCGAGCTCCCTTGGTCGCTTCCTTCCTTCCTTCCTGGCCTGGCCCTGTCTCGGCCGGGCTCCTCCCAACTTTGCAATTGTAATCAACGATAACGATTCCGGCACCTCGTTCTACTATTCGCGCGGAATAACTCTCGAGATGCAAAACGGTCTCCTGTATCAAGGTGGTATTTAAAGCGTCGTCCGTCGACTCCTCTTTTTTTTCCCCCCGAGGGCCGGTTTACTTCCTGCACGTACCTCGCCACGTGTCACGTCACCATTTTACAGCCGACGTGTCGCGAGACCTCTGCGATCCGTGTATTTCGAGGATCGCATTCTCAACGATTCTATCGCGCGACCTAAACCAGAGAGCCGTGTGAAACTCGCTAAAGTCATCTTTTTCAACGACACATTCAAATATAGCTTTTACGCTTGTAAAATTTTTATTTTCGCTTTTATGCACAAAATAATACCAGGATAAGTTGCGGACCGCAAAGAAGAACATTTTCATACTTAAAACACTCAATTCAGAAGTCTGATAAAAAAGAAATTGGTATTTATAATTTTCACTTTTTTATTCGTGAACAATTTGAAATTTGGTTTTATAAAATTGCAAGATTCTTCCAAAATCTTTGCCTTGTTATAAATACACGCGTACCATCGATGGTAGGTTTAGCGTCGCTTAAAAAGTTAAGCGGTTAACAGATGACCGAAGTTGGCGAGTCCGGACCCGAGCGAGCGCGTTTCTCGCTGTGCGACTTGACGCAACAATACGACGTACGACGCGCCCGTATCAACTTTGCCGAGTTGCTCGGAAATATTGCGCCGAAACTCCGGCGGAGTTCGAAAGCGGGAACACGCCAGGTTACATTAAAGCGTTGCCGCTAATACGGCCGTAAGTTTCGTGCGTTTGATACCGGCGCGGTGCGACGCGGGCGCGTATGGATACGTACTATATGTACAAAGCGTCAGACAAACACGAGACGCGTACCTACATATACAGGGTGTCATGCAATACCCTCACCTCTCATTTACGGATAGAGCCGACTAGACTGAATCGAAAAGTCCTCTACCATTTTGCAATCTTCGCAATAGTTAACGAGTTATTAATTATTAAAAATCGCTGTCTTAGCCCGGCCTACCACCCAATTCAAGCTCGCGCCTAGCAACGCCGATCGCGGGACAGCCGCGTCAAACCGCGCGCTTGAATTGGTCGGTAGACCGGGCTAAGACAGTGATTTTTAATAATTAATATCTCGTTAACTATTGCGAAAATTGCAAAATGGTAGAGGACTTTTCGACTCAGTCTAGTCCGCTCTATCTGCAAATAAGAGGTGAGGCGGGTAACACATAACACCCTGTATACGGTTGAATGTCGAAGCGCGCGCGACGGCGTCGGCGTCGTCGGCGACGTTGTTTTCCAAAAGCTCTGTCCTACTTCTTGGTCTCGCGCGTCGACGATGGATTCGTAAATCCGTCACCGTCTCGCCGTCAGCCGACGAGTCGAGTTCTCTCGGCAGCCACGTCGCGTGGAATATGTCGCTCGCTAACTGCCAACGTCGCTCCCGTCGACGATATTTGGACCGTTCGACCGAATTCCGCAACTTCCGGTCGATGTCCTTTGGCGCGCGTCGTCTCGCGACTAAACGACCGCGAATCGACGTAGCGATAACTTTTCCGCGAGAAAACGTCGACGGGTTGACGCGGTGGCGCGGCCCAGACGGCGGCGAGGAAATACGGCACGATCGACGATCGAAAACGCCGTGGAAAATAGATTCCCGCGTTATCGCGCCGGGAGACGGGACCCGCTTTTTAGACCGAAAAGGGGGGGAGTCTAATTTACCATCGCGGCGGAAGACAGGACTAATTGCAAGAAGGGCGGGTTACACCGAGTAGACGTCATAAATTTCGCGTCCTTCGCGCTTGCAACGGCGTGTTTGTCGTTACGGCGTAATTCGCGATTATCCGCCTGCCATTGTTGTCGTGACGTCGATTATAGCGACGAAGAGCGAGAAATTTGTCTATTGCGACTTCTCTCTCTCTACGTCTCCCTCTATCTTCGTAACGATGTCATAATTACGAGTTTCAAGCGTGAGCGAAGATGTATACATATATATGGACGCCGCATGGGGAAAATGTATCGCACGACTCGGTTGACACGCACATATCAGTCCGAGATGACATCAGCCCGTTCCCCCAAGGAAATGTCCTAGTCAGCGCGTAGAATGTTATTCCTGTAGGACCGGCGCGCGGCGCGGCGCGGCGGCAGGTCCTTTCTAAGACGCGTCATATCGATTCGTCGTCGAGAACATCGTTGTGCTTGTGACAGTTCGGGAGTGAGACCCGCGTCTGGTTTCCTGCGAGTATAGGGGAGGCGAGTAGCGCGACTGCGAATCTCTTTTCGGTGTCCGTTCCAGTTCGATTGTCGAATCGCCTACTTCGATTTGCGAGAGCGACCCCGTCTCCTTGGAGGATCCTCCGAAGTCTATTTATGTGGGCCCCCGAAGAAACGTGCCCGCATCGCTCAACGGCGATAATTCAGCCGCCAAGTTTCAAAGACGGGGTACGGGGAAGGGTGGGGAGGGTAGGTACGTCCCGCTCGTAAAAATTAAACTCAAACTTGCCGTTAACATTCATAATGCGGAGCCGCGGAGCGACTTTGCCGGAACTTCGCCGCCGTATCTCTTTCCGCCGTTGCAAAATAGGTCAGGATCCATTTTGCCGCGTTTCAATTATGCGATAACGCGCCAACTTTCGACTCTGCCCGATGGTAGCCCGGGAGCGATAAAATACTCGGCATAATCGAGCGATATTCATCCTTTAACTGACGGGGGACGACAAACTTGTCTCTCTCCTCAGACAGATTGTCTCCGTTTCTCCGAGTTTGGCCGGCGCGGCGGCGCACGGCCTCGCGATGCACTCCTTCACCCCCGCCCGGCAAGATGAACACACTCGGCCAGCCATTTGTTCCGCTAGCGGGATGCCCCCGCCCAATGCGTGTGCGCTACAATCCGAGCTCACCCGCGGGTGATAAACGGCGGAACGCGGCGAGACGCATTGCTATCGCGATAGAATGCTCGGCGGAAATTGAAATTTTGACGGGACATGGGTGCCCGCGGGAGAAAAGCCCGGAATACGGGCTCCGCGCCCCATCCGCGAATATATAAGATCGTACGTCACGGCCTGATCTTGCGCCGCGAACACGTTCCACGTCGATAAGTTATTCTCGATGATGCCCGTCGTCCATCTGGCCCCCGGAACATTTCCGATCGGTTTACGGGCAGACAATAGACGTGTAAATCTACGCGCGTCTTCTCGCGCGAGTGGGACATTTCTACTCGCCGCTCGCGGGATTTGCTTTGTATCGTCGCGCGTCTCCATCGTGTTACTTACTTTCCATGAAGGTGTACGTCGCTTTGAAGCCCCTCGAGTGGCGAGATGACGTTAGTCCCTGAAACTCCAAGGAGAGCCGCGGACCGTTGCTCATGATGGGCCGCGGCGGTATGTCCCCGCAGAAGGAGTCTATTTTGTCCTTCTTTCCGTCTATGTGCACGAACGCCACTAACGAATCGACTCCCTCGCAGCTGCAATGAAAAATTATATATTTATAACGAGTTTCTTTCAGATATCACGTTTTGCCCGCGTGCGCATATTATATTTGCAACATTAATTATTTTATTCGTTTCGGGCGCATATCCGCGGTCCAGTGCAGTGCAACCAAAATTTGATACTTTCCAACGCGATAATTATTGCGGAAAGCCAACAATTTCCATGTAATTTCAATAATTGCAATAATTGCAGATAAAGTATCTCTTGTGCCTCTTGCACGATCGGTTCGTCATGTAATATTTCATCCATAATAGTTTCGAAGAGAGAAGAGAGGAAATACGAAATATAGAAATTTGAGTCAAAGAGAGAGAGAGAAATAGTATTTGCGCATGGATTTCAGGCTTTTGTGATCGTCGGGTGATTTTTAGTAAAATAGCGACTCTCATTGTAAACACATCTCACGCGATGTTGATGATTCAGTTTAAACGTTTGTCGGACGATAACTGTCCTACAATGTTTGCGCGGTTGTGTCAGCTTGCAGCTTCGACGTGCGCAGCCTTCGTTACGCGTCACGAAACAATATTCGATAGGAAAAACTTTTCATTTCCGCAACAAAAGACGCTCCGCTACCGGGGGGACTCGTATTTCCATTTCTGATTTCACGTCCCGTTAGAACACAAGGAACGGGAATCAAGATGTATTTGTCCCGGTACGCGCGCCGGAGCGTGTACTGCAACACGTTGCACGTTGTCCAATTTTATATTCCGTGCTTACGACGCCGCTAGCGAACTTTGAACGATAACTCGACACCGAGTTGACGTTCTCTGGACTTTCGTTTCAAAAACTCTTGACACGAGAGCTCGCTGTCGACCACTGCGGAAATTATGCGTTGCAATCTGCCCGTCGAGTTGGAAATACCAAATAATTGCAGTCAGTTGTAACAGACTTGTCAAATAATTACTTTCGCTCGTTAAGAGAGCGGATCTCTTCAAAGCGAAACGTCTTACGACAGTTGCAACGTGTGCAGTGGAATAATGTACAGATGTACGAAGGGGAGATTGGTCGAATATTTTTATATGTTTGCGAGCGCTGGACCAAATATCAAATATTTAAATGGATACATTTGGAGGCTACATTGTATTTATCAGCAAATATGTTGCGAGTGTTATTTTGCAGAAAAATTCTCGAAAAATAATGAAAATCCCGTTGATAAAGTCGCTGTGCGATACAAGTGGAGCTGCTGATTTCTCTCGGTTTAATTCTCTCGCTCTCTCTCTCTCTCTCTCTCTCTCTCTCTAAAATGTATTTAAATTTATTTTGAAATATAATATTGAAGATAGTCTACATTAGACTTTTATTTGATCTAACAACAAATCCGATGACGGACTGGTCAAAGTAAACATGATAATGTTGCAAAGTACACACTCGACAAGAAATGCATTTCGAGCAAAGAAAGCAATTTTAAGAACGGCATGGTTTTTGAACGTAGTTACGTCAAGTACATAATTACAAAACTTTTATGAATTGTAAACACGTTTACTTTTCTTGTTTTTTTGACAGGATGATATGACTTTAAAGGAACAGTTACGTTAAACTCATTTTCGCACAAAAGTAACCTCTTGCTGCATTTAGCGTTTGAGCATTCCCATTATACTCCTCCTATTTGAGCTCAACGTGCCGTGGTTTACCGTATCATAATTACGCAATTGTCCTGCGGGCACAATCCACAATGGATGGCTTTTAACCAGCCAATTTACAATTCGCAAGACATAGCGAGAGAGAACCGAGAACCAATACAATACTCAATAAAGAATATTATTTGCCCGGGCGCAGGCAGGCTTACGCGTATGATCATGTGCAGTGATTTTGTACATGAGCAAATTTGTGTGGCGTTACTGCATGAATGCGCAACCATACGCTCGGAGGAAAATTTCGACCAATCTACTCGGATGATTGGAAGGAAACTGGGCAGGAAAATCAGATGGCGCGGGGTACTCTCCGACACGTTCTATTCGGAAGAATAGACTCACTTTACAATTTGAATGCATTCACGTTTCCTACATCACGAGTACATGTGCCAAGGGTCCACCCTGTGTGTCTTATGAACGCGAGGCAGTGACGCTTGCGTCACTCGAACGTCATGTATCTTCGTGAAACAACATATTAGCTCTGGGAAGTAACTCGTTATTTGTTACAGTTACTTTTTTTTGCTAACTCTAACTTAACTTCGTTACTTTCTCTTCGTCTGTAACTGTGACTCAGTTACATTTTTAACTAGTAATTAATTTAACATAGCTACGTTAATATAATAGTTACTTTAGGTATATTTTAAACCTCCACGGATCGCATTAGGCCTTGCATTTGCGCATAAACTCCTTTATCGACGCTTTACAATTCAAATGCAGATTTGATATTTTTATTTTTTATCGCAAGAAAGCAACTGCAAAGTAACTGCAACTGCAACGCGTTACTTTTTAGAATTGGTAACTTGTTACATTTTTAGCAAAAAAACTGTGACTGTAACAAGATACTTTTATAAAGTAACTTTAATTTCCAACCCTGCAACATATACATGTGATACGTCATAATATTGACGTTTGCATTTTTTAAATATTATTTTTCTAGAAAACGTACATGTGTATACGTAGATTAAGTGTCATTTCAATTGTGCTGATGTGTGGAAACTCTACCGTTTCGCGCTATTATCGTAAATCCCGTAGAAGAAGAACAAAAAAAAAGCTATTATCGTAAAGAGGAGAGCAATACGTATTGACAATCGTATTATTCACGCCTGATCGTAACCGCCGGATTATTTAATCGCAACTACCGTTTCAAAGATAGAGACGCTCTTGTGATGCATTGCGGAGTGCACGGCAGATAATTATGGAACAGGGAAAGTAGCACTTAAACCCTAATTAAATCGCGTTTAAGAACAGTCACGTGGAAAATGAATGAGAGGATAAGTGATCGCAGCGAGTGCAATCGTCGAGGAACCCGCAGTGGTTGTATCGCAGCGGTTTCCTATGCTGATTTGTCTCCTCGGCCATGACGACAGGTCCTTCAATCTTTACGTTAGAGGGAAACGCTCCCGGTCGATCTCCGCCTGGATCTCGGAGATATTCGCGAAAGCTTGGTCAGAAGATAAGAATCTTTTGTCGAATTGAAATAAAATTTCGCGCGCTCGTAAAGTGACAATGCAATTTTACGTATACGAATGGGCGAATTTGGGCGAATGGGTATTGACCTGGAAGGAAGGGAAACGCGGTGTGCGTAAACGTGCCAGAAAAATTCCAAATCTCCGAGGCAACAGTTTTATTGCGCACTTGCTAAATTGAAACTACGGTTTCTTCACACAGTTTTGACACGGCACAATTTTCGAAAGCAAACGGCACGAAGCAATAACACGTAAAATTATAAGGTAAAGCAGTACCGCAGCCTCACGCCCACGGCCGGCTTACGACGTAGTCGTTTGTCATGAAATTTTGAGACTGCACTTATCGTAATCCGATGCAGCAGTTTGAAGGCAGAGCGGCCGACGTCTGTTACACATGCGTGCAAATATATAATGTACCTGGCAGCATCTTTTGTGTCGTAGAAGAATGGGCCGAGGACGCTAGGTGCAATCGTATGTATCGTTACGCTTGCTACTAAATGCAATGATGTCGAGTGTACTCGCGAAAATACAGTACCGTACAAATACGGCATATGCATCACGTCCAAATAGATCGCGCGACCGTGCGAGTTTGCACTCTTCGCGAAAACAAATAAAATTTTTGATAGTTTACTGGCAAAACTACTGTTAATAGTACGCGTTTAATATGATGAGGACAAGTCGAAGAAATTAGTAGACGATAGGCTGGCAGATAGGCTCAACGTGTTCGTCATTTACCGGCGACTCATTTTTCTCTGTTAATATAATGAAGAAAGTATGATAAACTTACTCATTCGGATCAGTTGGCGAATGAAACAGATTCAAGTCCTGGAATACCACCTGCACCCGTTCCTTTCCTCTTCCTTGAAAGTCGTATGTACACTGTGTCCTGGGTGGATATGGGTTCGGGTATCCAGGTGACATAACTACGCCCGTTTTTGTTGTATCGCTGTTGTAAACCACGTCGCACAGCGACGCTGTAACAAAGAGATGCACGGTGACTTAACGAGCGGCAACAGTCGACGAATAAAAAAGGAATGTAACGAAAGTAATTAATTGACGCACAGCCAAAGGAAGAAAAAAGGCCAATTAAATTACGCGACAGCTTCCTTCGTTGCTACTCCCCCGCCCCCCTCCCCAGCCCGTCTTTTTGTGCCGAAAGATACGTTGTACGAATTAAATTATGAATATTTCGTGTTTTAATTACAAGTGCTTGCGCATCGACGCCCGCTATAATATGCAAATGAGCTCTGCTGTATCGCGAGAACGCGTCGCATAAAAATCACACAAAGACTACAAAAGTATGATAATAATCATGGCGCATATTTATTAGTTGTATTAGCGAAAATATTTCAAATTAAAATATATGACGCATTTTTGAAATTCCGCTCGCGTAGAGCGGAACAGACGGTACAGTGGCGAATATGGAGAGAGAGAGAGAGAGAGAGAGAGAGAGGGAGGAAGGCCTTCTCGTTTGTGTTAGCCACGGCAAATAATTTTACAACGAGCCGTCTATTTGTTACCAAATAAATTAAAAGTGCAATACAAAAGGCATTCACGTCTCCAGCCTTGTCGCGTTTCTTTTTACAGCTCGCCGTCTTTATGTGTCTGCACCATTCGCATAGCGTTAAGATTGAACGAGTCTCTCGCAAGGAGGAAGATATGAAATTATTTAATGTGATAAATATCTTAACCCGCTTTGCCGCGTATAACGGTACCGCGATTGTAGCGCATATTCGTTTCGAGTCTCTACGCTTTAATCTTCCCGACAGTTATTAATCTTTCCGTAATTTAACGCCAGAATCGCTGAGGTACGCTTCGCAAGATGAATCTTCCGAAGAAATGCCGTCATTAGGCAACCCCGGCGTTACGAACGCGTGAGCGTGCGTACTTGTATATTTTCTCGTGAATATATTTTCCGTGTTTCTCCCGAGCGAGTTCCCTCTCTCGCGGTAAACATTGCACTGTCTATCCGTGCGTAAACCATTAGCGTTCCGCAATATGATTGTAACATTCAAAGTTACCACCGCTGCGCGTTCAAACATATAAAATTACGTCTCAAGCGCGAGACGCTTTGTGCTTTATATATATAAAAAAAAACAATCACGATGAAAAATTATCCAATTGAGATAATGTACAACTAAACATGTTGATCGTCACAATCGTATGCCGCGGCAATTATCGGGCGTAATTCCTTCCTAAATATAATCGCTCGCACGAGCCATCACGCATAATGTTAACTTACTATTGACTCGGTTTAGAAACTGGCCGGCGGTAATTAATATTGCTATACGGTGCGCGTAATCGGGATGCCGAAAAGCTGGCTTAGGGATGCAGCAATGCATCGTTAGGTATGTACAGGGCTATCTCGTAATTCATCGTTTGACCGCGCGATACACACGTTTCGATGCGCGTATCCAGGATACGAAGAAATTCGATAAAACTGTCATTTGGCCAGGGTCACCCGTTGCCGTGACCTCGCGATTCAAAGCCGTCGACACGAGGCCGACAATGGCTTTTATCGAGTTTGGAAAAAGTAACGCAATATCTCGCCCGGGCAGTTACCTTAACGACCTTCGCGCGTGGACTGAAAGATATATATATTCTTTATGTATTGGAGATCAGGCTATATATATATATATATATATATATATGATGTTCTTCGAGTTAACGAGAGAAGATATTTCTATCAGTTCCGGCGCAGCGCTTTTAACGGTTACGCTTGAGAGGGAAAGGTATCGAGGCATATAATACAAGGACTTTTGGATGCGCTGAAACTGGGAAGGCACGAGGTATCAATGCGTCGCGTCGTCGTCAGTCATGAATGTTGTATGAGTGTTTGTATCAGAAGCGTACTTATCTCCAACTTTTGCGTTGCCAGGAGAATATTGGAAATATCGTTCGCGCTGTGTTCAAGCCCTTCCCCTTTTCATCCGTTCTCTTAGCGTCATTTTTAGCTCGATTTCCGCTTTGAGACTTACGTCTACGGTAATGTACGTGACGTATGTTAAGGAAATACATTTAAATCTACATCGCCCGAGTGTTTGAGGAGAAACGCTTTTCTCAAATAACAGCGTGTCAAACTCAACATTAACATATTTATTTCTCTTGTTGAGAAAATTGCGTCTTCCATTAATTTTCCCCGCCGTTTCTTGGTCGTTCCGTCAATGCATAATTTTCACTCCAACGGCATATTATTGAAAATGTCGGACTGGAAATGTGCATTATGCCGTGCCGTAATGGCCACTGCCGTCTAAAGCTTTCTTATTGTTGAGCATTGCGTTGCGCCTTATATATATAGATATATATATATATATATATCTGCGGGAAACTTAGGAGAATGCGCACGCCGCAAAAATAAAGAAGGCAGAAGCGGACATTACGATTTTGCGGGCATCTAATGTCGTGAAAATGGTATGCAACGGCTTCACGACGCGAAGCGCAATATATTGACCGTGTTTAACGATATTCGATTAAAAATACATTAATTACGCGAAACTCAGCGCTGCTGCAAATTAATTATGCAACGTGCACAATTGTCTTTTCAATAATTAATCTGCAGATTTATCGCCGGCTTCAAAGGGATTTAAGATAATAATTTATATCCCGCGCATACGCTATTTATACGCGCAGGTACACACGAGGCGTTTTTATTCAAGAGTGATTCGCCGCGAGTATCGACTTCGGAGCGTCGCGAGGGGAACCGAATAACAGCCGGGAAAGACTGGGGGTACCGGGGAAGAGATGCGCGGCAGAAGCGGCAAACGTTTTAATTTGCATTCATGAGCCGTCCTCTCAAAATTCTTAGAGTCACCAAGTATTCCGGGCTACGTCTCCCCGTTATATTTGGGGAACGAATTCACTTACGGCGATCAATTTCTATACCGGCGGGGATATCGCGCTGTCGGACGCGGCTATTCCGGCGAGATTGGCAATCGACAGTTTTTCGAATATCGTTGCTTATGTAAACTATCATATATTATGTATGAGGGAGAAAATGATATTGTTCCAATTCCCGTGCAGCTTTCATACAAGTTACGACGGCACGTGCGCACGGTCTGGAAGTCAGCCGTGCCCCCCGATAATCCGCAAAATGCCCGCGACTGACGTTTTAATCCAAAGCGACGCAATTTCACGCTGCAGTCGCTGCAGTCGGAGGGCAAAAAGAAAAGTCGCGGGACGCGTTACTCGCCACGGCGACGATCTCACAAAGTTCCGGGCGCCGTGTCGCGTAATTGCGCGTGTACGCAACACGTCGGAGCAGTTTTAAGCTCGTTTCACTGGCGGCTGCGGGGTCGCGCGATCCACCTGCGTGGCAGGCGGTCAGCGCGCGCAAAGGCTCCGCGGCCGCTCCGCAATGTAACGTAAAACCATTGACAATCCCCGTCTTACCACAATCGCGGATTTCCTAATTAAACAGCGCATTTAGCCGGGGAACAAGCGAGTCAGCAGCCGCCGTGCCGGCCCGGCGGGTATTAATAATTTACGAACTTTGTTGAAATTAATTTGAACGCCATTTGCGAGCCGCGTCTTGGCGGTAAGTCCTGTCCTAACTCCGCAGATTTAAGCAACTCTCCCTTCTGCCCACCCATATCCGCCCCTCACTCAGCAGAATCCGTACCGGGGATATATCCGCATGGGTTTCCGGTTCCGTTCCAATGATGAACGTTCATATTTTCTTGCGCATTTCGGCGTAACCGCCGCGCGCGCGCGCGCGCGCTGCGTACTCGCAGCGGTAGTTGCCATCGGCTGCAAAAAGTCTCTCGCACCGCCATGAAATTTAATTCAGACTTTAAATCAGGCTTTTTCGACACCTTCCCGGAATCATTCCGAAGCGCGAACGGTCCCGCGGTGAAAAATGACTTTCTTCGATCGCGCGATCCGCACCTAAATATATAAGCGCAGATATTGTGTAGAGATGAAATTATCCAAGATCCGTTGAAAACGTTTCGCTAGCGCTAAAAATTTACGGAAACTTTCTATTTTTCAGTTCGCGTCCGTAGAACGTCAAGCGCACTCGTAGAAAATATATCAAGGTTCGTATATTCAATATAAACCTGAGTTATGGTCGTGAAAAAAAATATTGCCGATCAATCTTTCGCGACGTATTAGTTTGCCGCGCGATGCCAAATGGTACTTTTTTCTCTTTCACAAAGAGCGGCCGTGGATAAGCCTCTTTGAAAATAGCTTTCAGCTATTTTAATGTCGCACGTACGTAAGATAATTGATTAATTGCAGAGCTTTCCAGACAATGGCGTTTCGTTGCATAAGCGTTACTAAGTGCTCTTTAATGCGTGCTTTTTCCCTTTTTTGCATCTCTTTTTTTCGAGCGATGCGAATAGCTGCTACGAATAGATGAAGATAAAAAAGGCGTAGCCTGTGGCCTAGAAAAAGGTTATCACCTACTTTACCGGCTAGCGAGCAGCTCGTTTATCGTTTGCAGGCGCGTTAAGTGACCTTTGAAATCTCGCAAGTTCAGCATACTTTATTATTCGGCAAAGGTCAATAGTTCAGGCGTTAATTTTGTCCCACAGAATAGAATGTTTAGGAACACGCGCATATTTAACGGCGTCTCCATCTTTGCCGCCCGAGTGCATTTTTTAGCACTTTTCTATTTCAATCAAATAATCGAGGTAACGAAATTTCGCAAAACCGCGATTTCTATTTTGACGACGGAACGAAGAAAAATATTTTGTAACTGCCGCAAATAATAGGAAAATTTAACTCGCGAGTCCATTTATCGTTGCAAAATAAATCGTTGAATGTTTCAACGTCAATTTCCGGACTTCAATGTCCTTAAAAATCTATCGTACAGCGTCGGACTCTTTGCGCAAAACTTTTTTCAATTTTCTCCGAGCTTTGCCAAAACCGATAATCAAAAACCCTTGAATCTTGCGGGTGACGAAAGTTGATAAAACTCGCCCCCGGAGGCCACAATGAATTTCGTTGCAAGTGCGATCGACAGCGTCCAGCGCAG